TTTGTCCATATTTTGCCTATTTCATATGCTTTTGCTATCAAATGTATATCTTCATTGTATTTTGCTATAAGTTTTGATAATTTCAGAAACAAATCAATATCATTCCCTCGATAATATGGGCTATTACAGTGATATGATCTAATCTTTAGATAGCTGAATCGTATGAGTTGGATTGTAATCTTTGGATAGCTGGATCGTATCAGTTGGATTGTAATCTTTGGATAGCTGGATCGTATCAGTTGGATTGTAATCTTTGGATAGCTGGATCGTATCAGTTGGATTGTAATCTTTGGATAGCTGGATCGTATCAGTTGGATTGTAATCTTTGGATAGCTGGATCGTATCAGTTGGATTGTAATCTTTGGATAGCTGGATCGTATCAGTTGGATTGTAATCTTTGGATAGCTGGATCGTATCAGTTGGATTGTAATCTTTGGATAGCTGGATCGTATCAGTTGGATTGTAATCTTTGGATAGCTGGATCGTATCAGTTGGATTGTAATCTTTGGATAGCTGGATCGTATCAGTTGGATTGTAATCTTTGGATAGCTGGATCGTATCAGTTGGATTGTAATCTTTGGATAGCTGGATCGTATCAGTTGGATTGTAATCTTTGGATAGCTGGATCGTATCAGTTGGATTGTAATCTTTGGATAGCTGGATTGTATCAGTTGGATTGTAATCTTTAGGTAGCTGGATCGTATCAGTTGGATTGTAATCTTTGGATAGCTGGATCGTATCAGTTGGATTGTAATCTTTAGGTAGCTGGATCGTATCAGTTGGATTGTAATCTTTGGATAGCTGGATCGTATCAATTGGATTGTAATCTTTGGATAGCTGGATCGTATCAGTTGGATTGTAATCTTTGGATAGCTGGATCGTATCGATTGGATTGTAATCTTTGGAACTTCACCACTGGATCGTATCAGCTGAATCGTGATCTTCGGATCGTCTTTTCGTACCGTACCTTGAATATATTACGGACATTTTCTGCATATCATTATCATTCGTGTTTCTAATGCAAAATTAACTACTCCAAGGAAAGGTAACTCTGTACAGTATTTTCTTCTACAGACTACAATTCCTTATGGATTTATTTATTTTCATTATGTGTGTCAAATGATTAGAAAGATGATACATTATATATCGTACTTAGTGATGATCCTATAATTACTTTATCGATTTTTGTAAAGCTTTTGATTTTGTTTGAAACACTGTTAAAAAGTGACATTCATGGAAAATTTATAAATGTACTTGAAGATATGCATTCAAAATGTCTATTCCGTGTTGAAACATCGTTTGGTATGATTGAATTGTTTAATTGTATATGCTAAGTCCCTTACTCTTTAGTTTGTACATAAACGAATATGTAAATGAGCTCAAAATTGAAAATTGCAAGTTTATTTTAATCTCAGACTTGGCTGAAAATGTATTTTGTCTCATGTTTGCAGACGAT